TGCGCTCTACAAAAAGCGGTTCGGTATCATTATTATTTAAAGACACAGAGAAGAAATTCGCAAGGTCGATCCTGCACAATTCAATCTTGACAGAACTCATTAAAAAAATACATATATCACGTTACTTCTTCAACAGCACAGATGGTTCTGAAGCGAAACTTGGAATTTTGAAATAATAGATCAGGGAGAAATCATTCTTAAAAAAAATGGTAAAGTCTCGAATCGGCTGGGAGAAAAAAAAATTTCTCAGAGCTGAAATAAAATTCTCTAATGAAAAAAAAAAAAAAAAACTTTTGGTTAATTTTTATCATGTCTTAGACATGATAAAAATTAATGACCCTCCCTTTTTGTCTGGGAAGGATGTCTCACCCTTTCTAAAAATAGACCATGACTCATCCTTTCTCTAATGGCAATCATTCCATGAATGAATCACGATTTGTTTTTCAAAAGAGTGAGAGACAACATTCCCAGACGAAAAGGGAAGGGGGTCGTTAATTTTTATCATGTCTAAGACATGATAAAAATTAACAAAAAGTTTTTTTTTTTTTTTTTTTTTTTTTTTTGAGTTGGAGAATTTTTCTCAGCTCTGAAAATTTTTTTCCAGCCGACTCGAGACTTTACCATTTATATTTACGAATAGTCTTTGGATTATTTATTTATTTTCTTTTAAAAAGAAAAATTCTGAGCTAGACCTATCTATTGGCTTAACATTCTGGTCAGTCATAGAAACAGTCTAGAATCTCATTTTATTTTTCGAGGCTAATGCATGCACGGGTTCTCCAATCAAAAGGGTTACTATAAAGGGATTGGTTTGAATGCATTTATCTGCAAATGTTGTAGGATTCTGTTGTTGAGAAGGGGGTATTATTATTATTATTATTATTATTATTATATTATTATTATTATTATTATTATTATTATGATGATGATGATGATGATGATTGTGGCAGATTCGTTTTCTACATGGAAGTCTAGTCTCCTCCGAAGACCTTTTCTGAGGATCGTCGATAGATGGTTTTTCAATAGGAATCGTTTCCCTCGGATCCTCAAGAGATAGAGGGGGGTCCTGTCTTGAGACATGGAGAGGATTTTCGGTTCCCTTATTCTCGAGGGGTCTTGACAAATTGAGAGGTCCCTCCTCTTCGAAAGGGAGAGATCTCTGCTCTTCGAGGAGTCTTGAGAAAGAGAGAGAAGTTTTGGTTCCCTTATCCTCGAGGGGTTTTGACAAATCGAGAGGTCCCTCATTTTCGAGGGGTCTTGATAAATGGAGAGGTTTTTCATCTTCGAGGGGGTTTGATAAAGGAAGAGGTCCCTCCTTCTCGAGGGGTCTTGAGAAAGGGAGAGGTTTTTCATCCTCGACGGGTTTTGACAAACGGAGAGGAATCTGAACAGGCTTCTCCTCATCCCCATCATTATCGAGGAGGATGAGGATAGGCTTTTGGAAAGGTTTTTTCTTTTTCTTCTGAACAGGCTCCTCTTGATGCTCGGGGAGAGGGATGGGGTAGTTGTTCCACCATTCTATTTTTTCTTGCTCGAGGATTTTTTCAAAAGTCGTGGCCTCCTTAAGATGAGACGAAGGAGGAGAGTCCTCGAGAAGAATATAATAGGTATTCTTCCCAGTCTTCTCGATCGAGAGAGGTTCGTGCAAACATTTGTGCAACCATTCACTAAAATGAACGAGAATCCCTTTTGTCTTCTCAAGACGATCCATAATCCTATTCATTTGCGAGACGGTTAGAAAGTGGGACGTGTAAAAATATTTGGCTCGTTTCATTAACAAAATTTGTGCATCCAAAGGTGGAATGTCACGAGCCATCAACACGTTTTCGTCGGACAAAAATTCGTCCCGCATCTTTTGATAACTCCCCACGGTATGATAACCCGCACATTTTGAAAAATCGGAGGCTTTCAGGTAAACGACTCCTTGGATGATATAAAAGGAAAGATCAACATATATTTATATTTGAAAGGAATACACGTAGTGAGCTGGGGATGCCTCCTCATGATCCACTTGGACAAAAATACGACTTTGGGGCTCTCCCCTTTTATTTATAGAGAGAAAGAGAGTGTGACCTTCCCTTCCCTCCTCCTCTCTCCCTGCTTCCTCTATCTCTGGACGTCCTTGGATTGGAAAGGGTGACTTTGAAAAAAAAAAAAAAGAAGGTCATGGTTGGATAATTTTTTGTTTATTAAATTATTACTTTCACTTCCTCATTCCCACACACATTCATCTTTTTAAGAAAAGAAAAAGAGGTCATGGAGATAAGATTTCTTGGAAAGAAGAGAGAGAGAGAGAGAGAAACAAAAAAAAAACAAATAAAACGGACGTCATAGAGCCTCTATGTGTGTCTGTGTGTGTCTATATATATATATATAAAAAGACGAGAGTACTGGGCGAGATCATTTCTTTTCCATTGGGAGCCATGTCGCTATTAGACGTTTTTCCAACTCAACGGATTTCGAACGGGGAGGATTTGAAGACGCTAAAGCAAATCTCCAACTTGAAAATTTTTTTGGCGTGTCATTGTGCGACATTTATTCCGCATTTACCACCTCATCAAGCGATCGTTTCTTTCAACCAAGATGTCGAATCCTCCAACCTGCTCGTTCAGAATATATACAGAAATTTATTCGAATCGCAACAAACGAAAGAGGAATCTCCCTTCTCTTGGAATCGGATGGATCGAGCTTTGAGACGGCCCATTCAAACAGACCGGCGATATACGGATCCGCGCACGAGTTTTCGGTGGAAGAATATTTTTCTCACGAAACGATATTTTACGTTTGGAGTGAGAACGACGGCTGAGGACGAAGTTCATATTGTTCAAACCACAGCCGCTCCTCTCGCCTATTACGAATCATCGTCCCCCAATCTGAAGGAAAGAAGTTTTAAAGTCAGCGACAGGATGAAATATAAGAAATATATTCTAAGACCTTTTCAAAACTATGTCGTTCCCCCGAAAACGCAATATCTCATCGTCACAACCCAGAAGAGTCTCTTTCTCGTCGATCGGTGCTCGTACTCGCTTTGGAAACAATTGAAAAAGGAGATTTCTTTCCAATCGCCGATGGTGTTTCAAGAAAAAGAAGAAAACCCTCCGCCACCTTTACCCATCCCTTCCTTAGATGATAAGAGGAGCTGGATCAAACCGTCATGGCCCGAAAAGCTTCAAAAAGTCTCGACATCGTAGAGGTAGAATATCAGCCGGGTCCACAAGTTCCAACGGGTCCAGAAATCATGGAGGTAGAATCACAGCCGGGTTCACAAGTTCCAACGGGTCCAGAAATCGTAGAGGTAGAATTTCAGCCGGGTCCACAAGTTCCAACGGGTCCAGAAATCATGGAGGTAGAATCGCAGCCGGGTCCAGACATCCTAGATCCCTCCACTCATCCCAAAGAGACTCCAAGTGTTTCAAGACAGCCTTGTGAGGATCCAGCCCTTCCCGTATGGAATGATTATATGGACTTACAAAATTTGATGCAACAGGAAGGAGAAGAAAATAATCATACGGATGGGTGGGTCAAAGACTGTTTAGATCATTTAACCTCGAATGAAATTGAACTGTTATGGAATTGCATTTCTGAAATCACATCGGAAATGGGATATAAAAACCAAACAAAAAAAAAAACAATTTTTTTAATAACAAATTGGAGGAGGGTCATGATGTCAATTAAAAAAAAATATTATATAGAGTCCAATCTTGGTGGTTCACTTCAGTTTTCCAGCATGAGGTGATCCACGTTTCCCGAAATATGGATCCCATTCCAAGAGAGATTGTGTAGAGCCTTCACTTCAGTTCTTTTTTTTCTACCAAGAGGAGAGGGTCCCCAAAGGGCTACCCATGTCCAAAGAGAGAAAGTGTAGAGCGTTCATTTCAGTTTTTTTTTCCAAGTTTAGGGGAGGGAGGTCTCAAAATGACACCCCCCATTTTCAAAGAGAGATGGTGTAGAGCGTTCATTTCTGTTTTTTTCCAAAGTTAGGGAGTTTTCAAATGGCTACCCATTTCAGAGAAAGAGAGAGAAAAAGAGAGAGAGAGAAGGTGTAGAGCGTTCATTTCAGTTTTCCAAGGTTAGGATGGTGGTGGAGAATCCTCCAAAATGGCTACTCATGTCAAAGGGAGAGAGAGAGAGAGGAGAGAGAGTGTAGCGTAGAGCGTCATTTCAGTTTTCCAACATTAGAAGGTCCCAAAATACCTTCTGAATTCAAAGAGAGATCGTGTAGAGCGTTCATTTCCAGTTCTCCAAGATCAGAAGAGAAGAGGGTCCGCTTTTCCCAAAAGGGCTTTCCGCATTCAGAGACAGCGAAATGCAGACTTCAGTTTTCTCCCTCCCCAAGAATAGAGGGTCCCAAAATGGCTTCCCATTTCAAAGAGAGAGGGAGAGGCGTTCATTTCCATTCTCCAAGATAGGGTCGTCTGCTTTTTCCCAAAATGGCTTCCCAATTCAAAGAGAGAGAGAGAGAGAGAGAAAGGGTGTGTAGAGCGGTCATGTTCATTCTCCAAGATAGGGTCGTCAGCTTTTTCTCAAAATGGCATCTCCCCATTCAAAAAGAGATCGTGACCAATTTTTTCCAGTTTTTTCCAAGATGGGGGGGGAGAAGAAAACCTAGGATGGAATAACACGACACACAGAGAGAAAGAGAAAAAAAAACGCCATCTTGTCATTTTCTGATAGGGTACCGGTGTTCGAATACTTTTGTGACCGACTGTTCATGTTTAACCTTTCTGTTTATGATGCTATGTAATTAATCTCAGTGTAATAAATATTTCGTTAACAGCGTGGTTACAGCAGATAGCTTCGCAGTTTTACTCAAGTTTTTTTTTTTTTTTTTTTTTTTCATTTAGATTTTGTGTCAAGTGTACCTACGTATATAACCGTTAAATTAAAAATATTGTTTCAGTATTGAGTTCCTATGAGCTCTTAGAAGTTTCTAGAACTCTTTCTTGTGGCAGTATACTAGAGATAAGGCTCCTCTAAACCGAGAAAGAGACAAAAAGTAAACAGGGATGTTTACACTTGCTTAATATTCCGCGCGTCATAAACCACTGCTAAGGAATTTTCCTGATTGAAGTGAAGTGAACGAATTGAAAAACTGTAAGAAGTGTAAATATAAGCACGTGCTTTTGTCAGAAGTATGCAATCGAGCATTTAAAAGGTATAAACGCATTTGCATGCTTTTTCATTTATTCATCAGATGCAGAAAATTTAATAGGATAATTTACACCAAAAAAGATTTATGCATGTCCCTATTTATTCGCAAACATAATATTTCAGTGGTAGAAGATTGCACTACATTTATTCAGCTCCACATTGTTGCAGAAAAATAATTTTCTTAGCTTGAACTGCACAGCTAATACCATATTTTTCTCAGTTCCTTTTTATTGAAGATTGATGCAGTTCGAGAATAACTTGAGCAGGACATCCAAATGTAAAATATAAACGTTTTCTGGGTCTGAATTTAAATATTTTACATTCCTTCTATCAGTTTTCTTTTTTGAATAAAGTATTTTTTGTAAATTTCGTAATTTCCGACTAAAATTATGGTTTTCCCTCACATTTTTCAAATCAGATGTTAAAGTTATCTAAAATTATTGTAATAAAATGAAACTTTATGGAACCCAATTTTTTAATTTTATTTCCAGTGGAAAATCTCCTCTTTTTTTTTTTTTTTCTTTTTAAATCCCATGTTAAGCCAGGCATTTATGTATAAAAACATATACAAAAACCTTTTTAATTTTTTGAAGGGCCCATTTTGCTGCTAGAAGGACTGCTAGAAGTTAGCGCAGGATAAAATGATAAAATTATCACTTAGCAGAATGTGTGTAGTACACAATACATTGTTTTTCAATTTCAGTAAGAATTAAAAATTTATTATTTAAAGAAGATTTAAAAGTGTCAAATGTTTTACGAAATAATTTTTTTTTTAAAGCCCAGAAGGGTCATTATTCTTTGAAATGGCATTTTGCGTGAATCACTAAAAGCATTGAATCACTTTTCAAATTGTTGCCACCAAATATTATCGCTCTGTATTATATTTAAAAATATTAAGTAATGAGGAATCTGCATGAGTATATGTATGTTTTTTGCATTGTGACAAAACAATGGCATCTAGAGCTGTCAAATTTTGAGTAAAGTAGTCCTCCACCCAAATATGGACACTTGGAAGCTCGAATTTTGAATTTGTTTTATTATCTATTTCATATTTTGTAAAACTTTAATAAATTAACAAATTCACTGATTTCAAAAATGGCAGCACTGTATGGAATAAAACATTTTTATCTCCACAGTGTGAGACTGTCTATCAGAAATTCTAAAGGTAGGCTGTTTTTAAATATTTTTAACCCAAATGCTCTCAAAACGTGTATGTATGTGTAAATGAAAAAAACTTCTCTGAGTGTACTATAAAATCTGAAAGCTTTAAGATTTTTTTTTTTTTTTACTTTAATCATTTTGAAATAATTTTAATTATTCTGAGATTTGATCAGTTTATCAAAAATTATTGTTCATTATTGCTATATTTTATTCATGAATTTAAGGAAAATTATTATAATTCTTTGTAAAGATATTTGTATAATTTGCATTCAATTATTGATCATATTTAAAATAATTCATTATTAAATATATTTACATTAAACTTTGTACTTTTTATTTTCATTAGATTGTTTATTTAGTTTGCAAATATGGAACATCAGAATAAAAAGCACAGTCTTGAACAAACTTCACATGTTAAACGTAAAAAAAGAGAAGTACATGCTTTAGATGCAAGTATAAATGATGTTTACATGGAATCTAGCTTTATTACATCAATTTCTGGAGCATTTTGCCAAAAAGAAGCTGAAACTTATGGTATGTGTTTGATTTTAATAGTTAAAAAAATATGTGTTTTTTTAATAATAAATAACTTCTATGCTTTTTTTTTTTTTTTTTTTTTTTTTTTTTAACTTTCAGCTAATTTTAGGATGGAGAATAATTTTGATCTAATTTCAGAAACATGCAACATTTAAAAATTTTTTTTTATATGTGTACATAAATCTTAAATCGGTCATTCCAAACATAAAAATTAAAGTAAGAAGTGTGACTAGTAATGGTATTATTAACTTGGGAGGCAGGCATGCACACTGATCATCAAAATGAAAGGATACTGACACATAAATAAAGAAATAAATAAATCTTATTGAAAAATTATAAAAAATTATACAGAAGCATTAACATAAATAACCACATTTGTCAGTCAAAGTACTGAATTTTTAAGTCAAGTTTATGAAAATTTAAAAAAGATGTATACAAATTATTTCCCCTCTTTCACAGGAAATCTTTCTTTAATATGGTGTATGGTCACCATACTGACTGAAATGCAAACCTCATATCTTGATTTTATAGTCTTTATCAAATTGTTGATCAAGTTTTAGGGAATCATAAAGTGTGTTTTTCATGTCCTTTTGGTGAATTGCCATTTGACGGCCTAAGGGATCTCGCACATGCTCAGTCAAATTCAAGTTTAGTGAGTAAACTGGCTTATCGATTCAAATGATATCATCTGTTTCCAAGACACCAGAGATCTGGATGTGGAGGAGCATTGTTAACAAAAAAATCAAGGTAACTACACCCTCAAACAACATTATATTATACTGTACCCAAAGACCTTGCTCACATATCTGTGATTAGTTACAGAGCCTTCATCAATATATGCAGCTTGATATGCTATTTTTGATGATTTTACCACAGACTGTGAAACCGTTTAAGTCCGTAATCTAGACTTGACGGGACTTCGGCGATTCTGGATTATAGATAATCAATTTAAATCTGGTAAGATGGCATGCAGAAATTATACAATTAAAAATATGAAACCGTAATTTATGAAATAAAGAGCAATTATGATCTAAAGGGTATCAAAATTACACACACAGACACACACACACACACACACAAAAAAAAAAAAAAAAAAAAAAAAAAAAAAAACTTAAGTATTTATTTGTTTATTTTATTAAACATTTTTTTCAATATAAGTTGTTTAAGTTGCTTCATTTTTTGTGCTAATACTTTCTCTTTAATTCTCTCTTCTATAAACAGACATAATTTCTTATTCAGTTACAAAGTCCCACTCTTCAAATCCTGTAATTGCTGCGTCGAGAATACCGACTAACTTGTCAATCGAAATTTTTTCATTTTCAATAACCTCTCTGTCACTTTCTTCACTATCGGAAACGCGCATGTGTAAATGCTTTACTGGCTTTATGCGCATGTGTAAAGCCAGTAAAGTACAACAAGTACTCAGTCGATTCTGCTTGGTCTTATTGAATATGATGAAGACACTAACTTAAATTGACTCCCTTTGAAGAGGGAATGAGTGAAACACAAATCATTGGTTTCTTGCTTCAAGTCCAATCTTGGAAGCCTTTGTACAGCAGACAAATGGCTGATAAGAGTACCTGTGACAGCCCGAAAGCCGAAAACAACTATCTTTTCATCACTTTCATGTTTCTTTGAGCTGATAGTGGCAAAAAATGGTCTCCATATGCAGTTGCTACTCTACTATGCTTGACTAGGCTGACTGCTTAAAAAAGAGTTATGGGTTTTTTATGTGAAACTTGGAAAAGTATTCAGTGTGCCCTTGGGTAACATCCATTTGTGTTTTACCATCCTTTACTCTACCAATCTGCCAATTAATAACCACTTTTGCCCTTCATGTAAATTATGCCATTAAGTCGTAACTAATGCATACTGACACTTTTCACATATTGTAAAAATCACACATTAATTTTAAATCTCACTACATAACTGAATTCTAATGTGCATCCATTCTATGGCTCATTACCGATTGCCTAACTTGCATATTTCATTTGCTAATCTGTGCATAGAAGCCTAGTTTTGTATTCAGTTGCTGATAATTAACATAAGTAATTATTCTGTTTGACCAGGAGTTCTTAGTCCAGGGGAATTTTATTGTTTCAGGGAAGAGAATTACAGCCTGCCTTTTATTTACCTGTTCACTATTTAGTTTTACTTTATGAATAAAAAATATTTCTATTCAAATTTTGGTATTTATCTGAATTTTCTTCTATCCAGTAAGCCCTTGCCACCATTAATGCATAGCATGTACAGCAAAACTGTGTTCCACAAAGTTAACTTTTTATGGAAAAAGTGTATTTGTAATTCAGATTAAAAAATTATGTATAAATTAAACAAACCTAAATATTGTAATTAAAAATGAAAACCATGAATTCAATGCAAGGCCAGATTAAGACCTTTAGAGACCCTAAGCACTTAAAAGATTTTGGTGCCCCCACATGTGTTTACATCAGTTTTTCCTTCATTACTCCTCGATCTCACTTTTTGTTCAGCTGCATCCTGCATTCCATGGTAAAACAAGTAATGAAAATAGTTTGGTGCCACCTTTCCTGAATACCTAAGGTGGTGTTCCTTTATCCTTGATGCCTTAAACATATTCTTAATAGTTAATCTGGCCCACAGAATAACAACTAACCTGGGATCCAAAAGTAAAAAAGCAAATTAATTGTTTAAATTAAAAACAAAAGAAAGAAATTGCTGTGAGTAGAAAAGATAATTAGGAGGCAAATATTTCTAGTCTAAATGCATAGTATGATTTTTCTAGGGAACTTGAATAAAATGCTTAAAATGAAGCCAGAATGCAGCAAACCCATTTAAATGTTCAGTTTCTATATATGCTGAAATCGAGATGAGGTGAATATTTTTACAGATTTCCAAGAAATATAGTTCTCAGTTAATTCATATCTCTTAGACCAGGGTTTCTTAAACTTTTTTTCGGTTGCAACCCCTTTTTATCACTGAGATTTTTTCGTGACCCCCAGGACCCCATAATATTTACAAAAAATTTGTGGGACCCCATAAGTATTGCACAAATCCGACACACGCATGAGTGAAACTGTTAGTTTTTACCCTGTACTGTAATATACTATTGCAGTTTTAAGTCATTAACTTTAATTTCTAATTTTAAGACATAGAACAATGTTAAAATTTTTAATAAGTAACAGAGAAATGACAGCATCATGTGCAAAGCAAGGAAAATGAACGTTTATATTATAAAAAGAATGCGTCGAAACATTTTCATTTTTTTCTTTGTCTGTAACTACTAAAATTTTAAGCTATCCCCTGCTGCAGGTCCCGCGACCCCTAAAGGAGTCTCAACCCACAGTTTTAGAAACCCTGTCTTAAACCAAGAATTCACTGCTAAAGCTGAAAGAGGTGAATAGGTTCTGTGCTTGTAGTGTGAATAATTTTATTCAGCTTGCTACTCCAAAATAAATTAAAGAAAGTCCTGTAACATGATGTAATTACTAATAATTTGATAACAATGTATTGCCAGATATAGTAATCAATCTGGTAACATCTTTAATGCTTACTTCAGATGCATATTTAACTAAAGCATGGAAGAATTATAGCATTTTCCTACTTCTGAAACTTGGAAAAAGCTGTACAGAGCTAGAAGATTACAGGTCTGTTAGTTTCATCACAGGTATGGTAAACTATCAGAGTAATTCATTCTCTGACGATTGAATTCCATCTCATACTACTGGACATAATTGGTAAAAATGTAACACCAGTTGCAATTATAATTACATTTTAAATTATGATTAGACTATATAATTACGATTACATTATAACTGTATTACTGTGATGCAATTATTTTTTAGTTACATTGTAAATGTACCTTTGTATATCTGCAATGTAATTCTATTTTCAGTATAATTCGAATTAAATCAGAGAATTAAAATTTTCCACAGTTAGGTCACTATTATTCGCTGCACAAATTTTGCATAGTGGCAGCACTTGCTGTGGGCTGCTTCAATATTATTTCTGTTCTCATTCATCCAATCCTAAGTTGTGGTTTTACTTACAAATATTATATTGCCAAGATAAAATTTATTTTTTAAGTAGATACCATACCTGCTGTTTGAGCTGTAATAAATCACAAGTACCGACAGATTTAATTATAATTATATGTACAGGTGTAATATAGCTGTGATTATGATTTTGGCATATCTACAGTTACACTGTAATTAAATTAATTGCAATTAAAGTAATATTATAAAAGTGTGTTATAATTGCATTTACATTTTTATTCAAAAATGAATTAATTAAATTCTAATTGATTATGCCTAACTGTGCATCTGGAAGAATAACATTGATTTAGAAAGAAGCCTTCTACTATCAAGCAGCTTGACAGAACTGTAAAAGTTATATTAATTGCTATTCATGATGAAAGATGCTTTACATTGTTTATGCTAAATATGGTGAAAATATTTGATTGTGTCTAGCTTAAGTGTTTAAAACATATTAACTGATTCATATAACCATTAACTAAAAAGTTATATTCTTTAACTCGTTTCTTTGTTTAAATACTAACTGTACTTTCACCATTAGACAAATTTCTGTTTATTTCACTGTAAGATTCATCATAACAGATGTCTAACAAAGATCTAGTTTAGGTTCTGTACACTATTTATAGTATGTTACAGACTTTTCAAAACTGACAGAAGATTATATGCTTGCATGTTAAGCTGGTGATCCTGCTATAATGAGTCACTACATCTGGCCCACATCATCACGCAAGTTCAAAGAAAGTTATTGAAAACTGATAAATGGTTTTGCTTGTGGAGGGTCTGCACCACTGTGAGCAAATCCAATCTTCTTGTACAGAAACATGAACTTCTTGCTTCAATCACTGACAAATTTCAGCTAGCAGAGGCATCAAGTGAGTTGCATCTAAGTTATTTGGGGTTAATATTAATTAAAGACTGAGCTAGACTCTGCATATTAAATGAGGCATTAACTAAGAAAACTATATCATTCAAAGTATATGGCTG